CCAGATCTCAACTAAGGAGTGATGTAGAGAACAGAAGAAAAATGAAAGAAACAGGTTGGTCATTTCCAGTAATTCCAGCAAGGTTTATAAACCAGAGAAAGAAAGCCAGATCTCAACTAAGAAGTGTTGTAGAGGACAGAATAAAAATGAAAGAAACAGGTTGGTCATTTCTACCAGTAATTCCAGCAAGGTTTTCCAGAACAAACCAGACAAAGAAAAAATAGATCTCAGATAAGGCCAGGATTACTGTAGAGAACAGGAGAAAAATGGAAAATGGAAGAAACAGGTTTCTACCAGTGATTCCAGTAAGATGGTCCAGAATAAATCAGAGAAAGAAAACCAGATAGGGAGTAATGTAGAACACAGATAAGAAACATCTGGTCGTATTTCGTTCAGGAAGAAGGTCCAGAGTAAATCATAAAGAAAGAAGACCTCAAACACAAGTTTTATGGAGAAGAAGAGAAAATTAGTTGCAAGATTATTCATGTTAGATATTAACCATAAGATAATTGATGGTCCAGATGGCATTGCTATGGTTAAATCAGTTATTTTGTTTTGATTTATTATATTATTTGTGTGTATATGAGAAGTAAGAATGTTAAATACCAACACATTCATAAAAAAGGTCCAAATTATCGGTGTTTTCCAAATTGCATATCTTGCAAGAATGAATCATATCTTAAAGGATATAACAATGAGAAGTTAGATCAAGTGCATTTTTCTTGGTTTCCTAATGCTTAGTGTATCATTTTGTTAGTGTTCCACCTTACACTTGCAAAAGTATGTTATTAATATTCTCAATTTTAAGAATGGTAATCATGATGATATAGTTGATTATGGTATATGAGGACAAGATAAAGAAGACTGATACCAATGAATGATTGGACAAGCATTTACAATTGTGATAAAATGAATGATGAAGATTTAATGATGTGGCTTTTGGTCAGAAAAATTGTATGTCAGAGATCAGTTATGTAAAAAAAAAAATGACCTATATATAGTTTGTAAGCTTGAAGAATTTTCTAGCTTGAACACACCTGTACAGCTGTCAAACAAGATTTTAGATTTTGATTTGAAATATCTATGATAGCCCTTTCATTAAAAAATTTTTGTTGTCAAATCTGAGGATTTTAGGGAAGAAAATTTAAAAATAATGTGATCTGCCTATAGACATATGTTTACATTACAAGAAAAAAGGAATGATAGAATCTATTGAAAAAATTTCATTGATACTGTTACAGAAAAAGTAAACTTCTCAAGAAAATTGTAAACGAAAATCCTGAGAAATTATTTTTGAAGTAAAATGCCTAAGATTTGATGATGCAAATTAGAAAGTATTTGAACTTGAATTCAGTCAATAAATTTTTGATTTTGTCAGAAAGTCAATTTTGGCTAGCATATTATATAACAGGTGTGATCTGGCTGTTATCAACACAATTTCATCAAAATAGAATATCTTATCTCTTTAACTGGAAATAAATATGCAAAGGACTAATTTTCCATCAGAATTTTTTTCCTCAGCATTACGTGTGGGTTAATGAAATATTAAAAGTGTGAGACCATTATGGTGGTAGATTACTGGGCAATTATTGCCTTATAAGGAGTGAAGGACTAGGATATGAATAGGTTTGATTCTAGAGACTCTAATCTCTGGACTTTAAGGTTGAATTGTAACATTATGTGGTCTGTACGTTGACCTACGACAAGAATGGTTCTTGACCAATGAATTGTGAGAACTTGATTAAGGTTACATTTCTAGGAAAATATAATTTATATTGCATGAAGATAAAACCATTTTATTAGATTAGAAATAAAGTACAGAATTGAGGTGACGAGTTCAAGTTGATATTAAGTGAAAGATTGGGAGGGATTAAAGTGATGAAAATTCAAGAAATTAGGAATTTCAAGACCTTTTGTGACCACAAGTAGATTTGTGGATGAATGTGTTGTCTCTAAACAGAGAAAAAATTGTATACGTTCAAATTTGCAAGGAAGAAAGGGTTGAATATGATAGGTGATAATAGTGCACCTGACTAAGGCAAGAGTTGCTTATTGAAGAATGGAATTTATGTCTGTAAATGGAAGTTATGATAACTAGTAGAACAGATTTTAAGTGTAAGAAGACAAGAAAGGATGGCATAAGAAAAATGAAAAAGGCCAAGTGATAGAAAAGAGAAAATTGAATGGTAATGGCAAAAAAGGAGATACATTAACAAAAGGCTGAGATCAGTAGAAAAGGACAGAATAAAGATAAAAAGTGAATGAGAATGGAGAAGACCAGAATTGTAGGATAAATGAGAATGAAAAAGAAGCAGACCAGGTGTAAAGTGGATGAGAATGAAGGAGAGGCTGACCAGTGAAGGCGAGATACAGAATTTGAGTGAAAAGGAGAAAAAATGAAAGGGAATGGAAAATAAAATGAGAAAGAAAGAAAGATGTCTTCAGTGAATTGAAAACAAGCTTGATAATGTTTCCGCTTGCAGTTATATTGTCATTTATGGGTTATGATCAGTGCAGCTTTTAACATGTTAAATCATGGATAAATTTTAATCAGACAATATTAGTATTCATGTCGATTTTTAGTTCTGTTTAGTGTTATGTTGCTATGACAACAATGACGCGGCAGATTATGCCCTTTTATGGACTTTTGGTTAACTGTTTATAATTATTGTACTACTGTGTTTATGAGTCTTGGGTTATAAAGAGTTAGACAATGTTTAAGGCACAATTTATGACGTTAGCTAACATGATATTATCACAATATATGTACTGCACAGAAATGAAATTTGACATTGATTATTTTATGACATTGTGACATATATGGATTAAGGTTATTTTATCATGGTTTATGGTTTTATTATGAATTTTATTGCTTATTTTCAACACCTTGTTTTACCCTGGAATTATTTCACCAAGTATTCAACAATCCAAAAAAAAATTTATTTTTTTTGAACATTTAATAATCAATATCTAGAAAAAATATTGTAATATGATCTTTATAGCTCATTTATTCAATTCCTTTTTTGAGATTTTTTTCCTTCTGAAAATTGAATTAGCAGAAAAATGTTTGTATTAAAATTGTACATTTGAATTTTAAATTAGTCAGTGTTTATAGAAACCACAAAAAAGTAATTCATTCATAATATGAACGATATCAGTCAGTCAATGACTCATCAGTGAAACACTCACAGAAATCCTTTGAAAATGTTTAAGATTGTAAATTATTGAACTAAGTCTTTGCATAAGAATTGAAATTTGGGGATTTGGCAAGTCAGAAAAATCCTTACGGCTTGAGAAATGAATAAATGAAATAGGAAGTTGGAATGAAAATCAATACTAGCATGTCAAAATGTTGATATCTTGGCAGGAAAGGAGAATTATTGTCTGAATGAAAATTAATAGGTTGAATAATTGATTGAAATAAAAATAAAATGGTTTAGGTGAACTGTGTCCTAGTGTTACTAGATATCTAAGGAATGGAGTGTTAGAGTTAGTAATGCATTTACAGCAGTAACTGAATGTCACATTGAGAATTGTTTTTTAAAGTGTTAATTTAGGGATATTGTAAAGGTAGCTTGGTGGTTTAAATGTGATGGTTTGTGCTGTTTTATGGCATTTATGGCAAAAATAATGATACCATAATATATATGAAATCAATTATTATATGAGCAACAAAATGCTTATATTGATTTATAACAAATTGAAAAGCAAAACTGAACTTTGATTTTATTGGAAGAATGACACAGAATTTTTTCCAGATCTCAAAGTACAGTTTTGCAAAGCAATGATTCACAGTAATAAATAAATTATTTATATAATTTAGCATTTTTAAAATTCATAAAAGTCTTTAATTTAGAAATAACATATGAAGGGTTTAGGATGTATATTGCAACAACATTGTACGACAAGGTAATTATTCCTTTGAACAGAAAAATGTCTGAACTGTACAACAGTTACACGACATCTCCAAAACCCTTCAAAGTCATTCCTTTTTTTAGTTAAAGATTAATTTGTACAGCAATGTACCAAATGCAGAACCTGCAGTGGTAACAAATGGTTAGATCATTTAATATTTTAATATTATAATAAATAAAATTTATATTTAAGAGCCAAGTAGGCTGCTGCATGGTTTTAAATGGCCATTTTAAGCCAGCATTGCAGAGTTATATCCAGCTCAAAAATTAAAATTTATTTTTGATTTATTTGGTATAATAATACTTTAGCGGAGTAGGCTGCAACAAAGTTACAGTTTGGGTTTCACAGTTTGACGTGCGCAATTTAGCAGAAGAGCAGTGAATTCCTTTAGGAAATAATTTTCAGTTAGATCGGCATAGTTTAGAAGTTTTATCGACTCCATTTAGAAGGTGTGTTGTAATTCACGTAAGGATCAAGTAATGACAGGATTGAGAGACAATTCAAATACGAATGATTCAGATCAAGTTTATTTTTATTATGTAAGGTATGTGTGTTCACCATTTGTTTTGTAATTTAATTTTTATTATCATACTGAGAGCAAATTTAAAAATCATTGTTTTCCTCTGAAGTTCATTTTTGGATCCAAAGATGGAGAATAGTATTGAATATATGTAAAATGAATAAAATGTGTCTAAAATGCAACTTATTCTACGAATTATCCTCTCATTCATCATTCGAATCCTAACAATTTGCCAGTGGCTATTTTTCCATTGACTACTAATCAATTGCAAAGTCAAAGTCAGAAGGCAGATTTGCGAGTGATGAACTCATTCATCAAAACTTTAAGAATATTGAAAAGGAATATACTGTATTGCTCCTGTAACTTGTACAGACTTGAAGCATTTGTAATGAATAATTGTCAAGTAAACATGTATTTACAGCTGATGTACATCAAATTAAGTGTTATTTCATTTAGTTTTGACACCTTTTTATGATACCTAATTGTATATATTAAACTCTAATTGAATGTTACAAAATATAGTGATTTTCCGTGGCAGTGAAGAAACTTGTGTTGATGATAGATTGTTTTTATTTTAATTAAATTGTATTATTGATAGCATTTAAGAACATTTCGTATCAAACCAAATCTAATTTACCAAGCTTGATCTCCACAATATTTATCAAATCAGGCAGGAATATTTCATTGCAAATTTGAAGGCCTAAGTTTTATTGTGATCAAAATCTAATTTCTCTCAAATTAATTAAGGTTCATTTTTATTATTGTGATGTGAGAAAATGTACTACCATTAAAACACACCCAAATGACCAAGCACCCTCTAAAACACCTGATTTTCATTCCCTCTACACTAAAGTCTTCAATCTACATTTTGACATTCAACTCGCATGCAAGTTTTAATTAGGGGGGAGGGGGGGGGGATGGCAAACCTAGATCAAACACCTGATGGCAAGAATAGGAGGGAGAAACTCAGGTTACATACAGAAATGGCTACTAGGAATTGAACAGACATTTTACCTAGCTCTTCTCAGAAGAAGCAAAACAGGTTTCTTTCTCTAATGCGTTTAGTTTTTTACCTAAGATGATTTTACATCAGGTAAATATCATTCTTTAATCAGCTTGTATATGTACATGTATATGTATGCTTCACAAGGACCTATATTTATTTTTCTAAAACTGATTTGATTTTTCTTAAATATTATTAAGTCCCTTTATTATTATTAAGACCAAAATTGTGGGACACTTTTTTGAGGGGGATGAGATAGGCAGAAAGCTGATAGATAATAACAATGGATAGTTATAAATAATGGATTTTTTCCCTTGATGTGTGATCAATAGCCCTATAGCTGTCTATATCTACAGTTTAAAGACAGTATTTCTGATTATAATCATACTATGTATGTAAGAGGTAGGCCTTAATGTTTTATATTGAAATATAAATAATATGTAGTCGAAGGTGCCACAAATACTGAGAAGTCGTAATCAAAAACTTGAACAGTGAGGGGGAAAATCCATATTGTACCATATTGCAGAATCAAATTGCGGAGTGTTTGAATTAAGAGCAATATGTTGAGATTATTGAGCAAATAAGTCATGAAAATGAAAAAATATATATTGAAGTCTGGCTATTCTTAATCAAACTAAAATGACAAGATCTCAAATGGAATCAAAGTGTGGCTTATCTGGAGCGACATCTAAAAGTGGATTTGTAGCAAGTGTTTCAGTCTGAAGCTTCCTGTCTCAGTGCCTTTAATGGTTCATAAAGTTGCACTCTAGACCACTGCTTAACGAGGCTACCCTCTTACTACAAATTACATTCTTTTTTTACTTAATATATTCATCTAATAAAAAACTAATAAAGATAAGATTTAATTGTAGTTTTCTATGTACATTTGGTAACATGTGGGAAAGATGTTCAAACATTTTAACCCTATCGTCTTAAATATTCATTATAGCATGAATATACAAGCCAAATGTTACCACCTGGTTATATAACCCTGATATGATGATACCCAAGATAGTGCAGGAGCATAAACCAGAATTATTCATATAAAAATCACTAAAGAAAGCAAGGACTGTACAAATATTCCTTGATTACTGCCATGACTAACTCATACATCCAAAATCACCCTCCCACCACTAAATACACATACCTAAACATACATATTATATTACTTAAACTTATTACTAAAACTGCTGTAGTAATGAATGCAAGATTTGTCTATGGTTCTGAGTTCAATGATGATACAAATTTTTTTTAGAGAAGCTTTTTTGTGTTGAGTAAGGAACAGTTTACTAAGCTGTCAATGGCTTCTGGTATTGCAGTTGTACACGTAGACTTTAACACTGACATGACTTCATATTATTTTCATTCGGATCGCTCATTCACAGCCCATAGTTTCAGTTACATGAAAATACAGTATGGCTACCTTATGGCTGGAAATGTGTTATATTATTCCCCACTCATAATGCAAAGATCTCTCATAATTTACTGATTGAGCGAACGGTCAGCATATTTTTGTAATTTATTTTAAAACCTCATTCATTTGCGATCTCAACCACTTTGACAGGTAAATGGCTTTAGGTAAAGCAGACAACTAACTGCAATGACTTCTTGACAATGGATCATTTTAAAATGTGACCAATGCAATAATGAAATTATAAGAAAACATGACTTTCAAAAATTATTTTTAATCCTGAGAGTTGATTCACAATAATATTGCTGTCAATATTAATTAACAAGTCATTCCTATAGATAACAATTTTGATTGTAATTATGACTATTTCCCCATTCAAATCCTGACAATCTCATTATTCTTTCTTGCTACCTTTGGGAATTAATTCCTAAGATCCAAATTTTATTGTAATGCAGAGAGGGTATTATCTTGGCACTTTGCTTCTTAGAGACATGTTTCCTAGTTCGTTTCCTATCCTATATTATTATGTAAAATAATATTGGCTTGACAATAAGTTAATGATAGCTGCATTCTTCATGAATATTTTTGTCATCTCTTTTATTATTCAAACAATCAAAAAACTTTTAAGAAGAAAGTCTTAAAATTTCATGTGGTGCAGAAAAAATATTCCATTTTGGTCATATTTGTCTGGACTAACTGTTTTGCGCTTTGTATGTCCCATGCAGTGAAAGAGACACAAATGAAATTTCATTAGTCTGGCTTTAACTAATCATTAAATACATGTCAAGTTATAGACACAGGTTCTGATCAGCTAGTCAGCATTTCTTTTCAATTATCACTAACAACATTTAAACTTTAAACTGTCTAAATTTGAAGTAAAATTATATTAATTTTTTGCTTAATCCGTTATTGCCCTTAGGCAATGTCTTTTAAAAACTTAAGATATTCATGTGTCTTATTTGTTTCAGGATGGCAAGCAACGAGAAGAACAGCAAAAAAGATAATATAGTATCAAGGTAACATGTCTCTAATCAAGAAGAATGTTTTTTACATTCTCAGATATAGACTTGCTAGGATAAAATGAAATCTTGTTTTAAGGAGCAAGTGTGGCTTGGTTGGTTAGTGTGCTGCCTGCTAAGCAAGAGGTCCATAGCTTGGTCCTCAGTGACCTCACACACTTGTTTGTAGTGTGGCTTGAAGGGTTAGTGTACTGCCTGTTAAGCAAGAGGTCCATAGCTTGGTCCTCAGTGACCTCACACACTTGTTTGTAGTGTTGCTTGGAAGGTTAGTGTACTGCCTGCCAAGCAAGAGGTCCATAGTTTGATCCTCAGTGACTCACACACTTGTTTTAAGGAGCAAGTGTGGCTTGGTTGGTTAGTGTGCTTTCATTTATACTAGAGGGCCATAGTTTGATCCTCAGTGACTCACACACTTGTTTAAGGAGCAAGTGTGGCTTGGTTGGTTAGTGTGCTTTCATTTATACTAGAGGGCCATAGTTTGATCCTCAGTGACTCGCACACTTGTTTTAAGGAGCAAGTGTGGCTTGGTTGGTTAGTGTGCTTTCATTAATACTAGAGGGCTTTAGTTTAACATATACATTAATAAATTATCAAAATAGTGAAGTATGGCTTGACATCAGTATCTACTAAAGGAAGATAGTGTAATCATTGCCCTGAGGCTTCAGCACCTAGCAAACTGCAAATGCAAGGAAATCATTAAGATATGAACAGTAAGTTATCTATTAGGAATCTATCCATCTTTGCAAAATATTAAAACAGATTTTATTTTTTGTATTCCTCTTCTCAGTGGCAAAGCCAATTTTAGGTAATTAGTGGATACAGTTTTGGGTATTACTGCCAAAAACATTGCTAGTGGAAACTTGCCCATCATACATTTCAATTGAAAAAAAATTTCAGTCACTTTTCGAAATTGTTACACTCTGAACTTTATACTCTGGAATTTTCTTCTATTTTGCATACTTTTAACTAATAGTGTTATTTAACTTATGATTTATCTTGTTTTGTTTTTGTCAAACAATAATTTCTTGGCAACGATTGTCTTAGTTTCATTATAGCATAGAAATTTTCGCATGCAAGAAGTATTCTGGTAGTGAAAAGCAAGTGTCATTTCAAAAACTCCTTCCTGATATTATATGGTTGTTATTTCTATAAAATATATTTTGTTACCCATGTAGTATTAATTGAAAAATACATTAATTAGTATTAAAACTATTCTTAACACTCATTTCTGCATTTGAATTGTAAAATTTTATGTCAAAATATCACCTGTCATAAAGGAAATTCTCGTAAGAATATTTTTCATTTTCAATTCTCTCAATTCTCAGTAATTCTTACTCAATTTGTTCCTCAATTAACAGGCTAATGTTTGATATGAGATATAACTCTATTTACTGCAGATTGATACTAGATGAACATATGAACTGATAAGCATTTAATTATTACAATAAATTTTCCTTCACAACTTCCTCAAATTAAAAAAAAAAACACACTCCCTCCTAAATCCTCTTTTTCTATTTTTACTTTATCTTAAATATCCAATTTTGAATTATCAATGTAATGGCTTCACTGACTCTTTAACAATCTTTGTAAAATGTCATGTGTAAGATTATTTGTTATAGGAAATAAATTCCTGTGAATATTTAGGCAGAATATTCAATCCAATTTTTAAGCCATTTCACTTTGAAGTCGTTAAGCATTCTATTCTCTGATTCAAAGTACTTGCTAAGAGCTCTGCTTGGTCGTCGTCAATTTGAATTATGTTTCGGCGTTTCAAGCGTTTGGTATTTAGCGATGACGTTATCTCTATAATTCTGGACCAATGCACTTGTAACAGAATTTAGATTTATCTATACTCCGACTCGATATTTCACTTCAATTTCACTAGATTACTGGATGAAATTATTTGCCAGAGATACGATAGATACGCTTGATTCGTGATCTTATTCGTGTAGATTGAAGCCAGATATTTTAGATACTGTATTTCTCTCGTCTTAAAATCGCAATTTTCCTAAAACGCTCTTGATATTCCTCTTTAATGACAACTTATTTTCATCTTTTTTTAATCATTTTTCAAGGTGACATTTGACTAGACGTTCGAGATGACTCAAAATCTCATATTGTGAGTATATTTCGGTTCGTTCTGACATTGTCTCTTTCTTCAGTCTTACAGGTGGTTTACTTGAGTAACCAACAGTTTTGAATAATTTATTTGCCAACATGTAAATGTTGGTTACAAGAACCCGATTCTAAAGCTGCTCGAATAAAAAGGACAACTCGAGCCGTCCTAACACACGTTCTATTGAGCGACTCTCGATCGTTTCCCTCGATTAGCTTTATTGTTCACTTGACTACAATACAAACAAAAGAGTTCCAGTATAAACAACAACAAAACACGAACTAGCTTCGGTCCATCGATGCGAAGCCGTCCGCTATATCCAGTACGAAAAACGAGTTTTTGTCCAAAATGTTAAGCCATTTCCAAAGAAATAAGCTTTCTAAATATACATCCAATTTCTCGTTTCTATGGAGACTGTTTTATATTCTAAAGTGCTTTAATTTCCCCGCGCATTCCTTACATATACACGTGCATCCTAGAGGTACCTGTTTCAACGTCAGTTTCCTAAGTGATTTGTGCTTTACACGCGACTACTCTCCCGACCCCGAGACTCCATAATATCATAAGCGACAAACATGTCGTTGGCCTCGATATTCCTCAGTTAGGCTCGCAAATTATAGCCAAATCCTGGAAAATTTTGCTTGAAACTAATTCTTCAAAACAACATGACGTACTCCCTGTCTGCTGGCTTCAAGTGTTACATTTAATCGCGAGCCAATATTCTATTTACAAAACTGTTAGAAACCAAGCATTCTCCTTGGATTTTTTCCGAAATCTAGTTGCTTAAATATTTCTTGCGGATAGTGGAATGCGAGAGAGACTTTTTGAGGTTTACGTTTGACTTTGGCGACAGAAGTTGCATGGCTTATGTGTAGGTGCTAAATAATTTAACATAATATTTTACACCAGGGTGGAACTTCAGAGGAAAATATTGCTCTTCAGAATGATATGAAAAAAACTCCTTGTTTCTAGATTGAAATTTGATGACTATTAAATCAGATTCTACGAAGGTCGATCCTCATGGATACGAAAAACCAATGCCCTAGCTACACTCTCGTTCCTCTTGTAATGAAGGAAAGCGTAGTAAAGAGTGTATTCGCTTGTGATTCGAGTAATATTCGGCAGTGCTCACGTATATCAGCGAGCTGGTATGATTCATAGTGATTCCCAATCGATTATTATAGGCTATCCACGTCGGTAACGGAAAATCGATTAACCGAATGTCCCAATTTCTTGTAAGCTCCTAAGCCGATCGATAAGGCAATAAAGTCAAGATGTGATGGATGGGCCTTGCTGGAGCAAGCAGATTCACTAGGTTCATATTCCTATTTATTCTCCTTGGTTTCAAGTGGGGATTTGCCAGTAGATTTGTTAGTTGGGCATCAAGGTGTGTGTGTGTGTGTGTGTGTATGCCGTTGGATAGTTTTCCTTATTCCAAGGATACCTGTTGCCAAACAATACTTCAACTTATTCATCCGTTAAGTTGTCTGCCAAAATATTACAGCTACGATAGCTTTACAAATATCTTCTCAAAATTTTTAAATTTCACTGGATTTGATTTATTGCAGCCTACTGAGTCTCAGGAGTTTTGCAGTAACTCACAAAAATAGTATTTTTGGGGCGCTTTAAGGTATTCATTCGAAACTTAAATATCGTAGACGATGTTCTACGACGCCGGCAAAAGGCAATTTATATATGTATATATAAATAATCGGAAAAACTAAATGCAGTCATGCACTTACCCTGTTACGACTACGGTAAAATCTAGCAAGTTCCATCCGCTGCGTAGATATGATCCAGGATGAAGCACAAATCCAAGCGCTATTACTTTCAGTACACATTCTAGACAAAAAATTGCTAGAAGATATATTTCTGCGTTATCCTAGAAAGAAGCGAAGCATTCAAGCATTACTATCGGTACAATTCTAATACATAATATTATAGAATTTCCTTCCAATTATCTGGTGGGGAAAGTCTCCAAAGAAAGAAAGGAAATATTAAAAAGTAAAATATAAAACTTACTATTACAATATTTGTGTCGGACTTATCGCCTTTTGGTAATGGAGTATTTGCAGCCAGTAGAATGCAGTTGACAAGAATAGTCAACAAAATAAAATATTCAAAAGGCTTTTCCTCAGTTAAGGAATATAACACGATATAGAACTTCACAAAGTCGGGAAATTCGACTCACGTTTTGTATTGGAAAATAGAATGAATACGGTAAAAGTTTCAGAAGGATATACTAGCAAAACAAATCAACCTGTTATCAAACGAAACATGTTATGTATGAAAATAGACTCAGAGATACATTGGCATAGCCAACGCCATGAAACCATAGTTCGGTGCTTGAAGTCAAAGCTTAGGCTTTCCAAAAGGATACTTTAGATTCCACGATTTTCTTGCAGAATCGTCGAATGATGTTCCGTTCCGAGAGTATAAATAATGATCTGTTAGATGTGATAAAACTGGCCAAAGTCAACGGTGTTGAATCTCCCTGAATTGAAGCCGATCTGCTGGTTCGTGCGTTTGTCATTCTCGACTTTGTATAATAGTCTTCTGAAGGGACAGACGAGGCTCGACGCATATCCGACATGTTTTACACTCTTTTGAAAAATTGTATCCCTCGTCTATCTTCAAATCAAGAGTTTAAAATAATTTCGAAGTTCCTCTATCGTCTCGCATGGGTTTGTTTCCAGCCATAGAAATCGCCGCTCGCGCGAACCATCTTTGCCTTCTTTTTCTTGACACTATATGCTAATTACAACACAAAGCAATTATGCCACCGACCTATCAGAGGACCTGTAAGGCACTATTCACGTGACCACAGCTAGTCCCTTTTGGGTGGACCGGATTATGCGCATTATAATTTGAATACGAATTCTCTCTACATCTGTCTCACCTGTCTCCAGTGTACGAATAGTCCCGCTTTGAAAACCGGAACGACGCGAGATATTCTCAAAACCGTTCTTACTCAGAAGCCCTGACTTGCAAAAAAAAATATATTTTTTCGTTATGATTTTTATACTCCAAGATGCACGACGTGAGCGTGATTGTGATAAATTGGAGATAAAACTCAATATAGTATCTGTCGTTTTGTGCTTAACCTTGCGTTGTAGGCGTACGCCGCCTTGAACACAAGTTCTACCCGAAGCATAGTTTTTCCTTCACCACCGAGTCATACACTACAAACCTTCAAAATTGGAAACCGCGATTTAGGTTGATTGCGTTTGTGGAATTCCAACCATTTCTAAATGTTTGGGGTTTGTGATATTGGGACCAATTATGCTATTTATTTAGAATGAGTAGAAGCTCTTTTGTAGAACTAAAGATTGTTATTATATTCGAAAACTTGTGATGGAATTACGAATCTTACTCAAATCACTCTTTGAGTAAGTAGTTCCGGAAGTATTGTCTGTTTGAAGAAAAGCTGGATCCTGAAGGGTGTTATCGATTCTATGAAGTTTTGTTTTGTCGTACATTCGGTTTGGTTATGATGAGATCATTTCTTCTTGCAGTGGAACACGACATTTTGCCGAATCCATCATTTAGCGTGTACATAAAATGACTCGCTTTTTTTATTTTCCCCGTATTTTTCTGCAAATATCCTTTTTATTTCTATAAGAATCAGCTCAAGATGATCTTAAAAAAGATCCTTAAAAAACAGCCGTGGAAATTTTGATATTAAATTTCTGAATTAAATGATACGCAAAAGGAATCGAGTAAAATCAAATACATATTTCCTATTTCCTTCTCAAATAACCAGTTTCATCACCTTTGGTACTATTTTCTTACTTTTTCTTTGATTTGACGATACTGTTCAGTTTTGTTGCATGTAAATTTATTCTCTTTGCTCGCTGTCAGAATTGAAGAAGGTTTTGCAATATTTATGTTGCTTCTGCATCTACTGCGACGCGATAAGAATTGTTGTTGTGAAATCATACTAAAACAATCGGCAAAACTAAAGTAGAAGTCGCGCCCATTACCACAAGCATTGCCGAATCTAATAAGCACTCACAGTTCTCGTGGAGGCGATTATGATTAGAAGTATACTTAGCCTAATATGCGTGAAAATTTATGGAAGAGAAAATTTCGTTCGAATTTTTCAGAGTTTATGTTCTGATTGATTAATAATAAATGCATAGTGCCTGCGTCGCAGCTGGCGTTGTGTCATTTTGATGCGCTCCCTTACGTCCTTACCTAGCAAATTAACTATTCCTAACTTCTTTACCTGTACTGTTCTAAGTGTTAACGAACACTCTTGGCACCCTCTATTTGGTGATGTAAGGGCGCAATGGTGACAAAAAAGCTAACCTGAGATATTAGGGGTGACAGCGATTTGCATAGCAAATTACTGACTTTAGGAATGGGAGGGCGATTCTCTTGCAAACCGACCCCATACAGATAACAAGCCACTCGCCACACGTTATTTTCTTACGTTATGGTATTGATACAAACCATAAAATGTCAGGTCTTTTTAAACTATGTTCGGGTTAGCTCCTGTATATTAGTATTGTCGAAGAAATGTAAGTCTCAGGGGGGATTTATTTTTGTTTGAATGAGAGTGGAGCGACGTGTAGGTTCGTATGGGGTGTTGCGATATGACTAACGACGCAGTTGCAGTAAACTTGATTGACAGTAACCAGTGTTTGGAATTATCAAGGTTTCTAGCTAATTTCGCGGCGTTCATGGTTACCCACTCTGAACTATAAAAAAATCAGATCATTTCGACTACGTGTGTGGATCAAAGCCACAACCAAAAATCTTTGCACTTGCTTGCAAGACAGGTATCTGTTTGCGCATCATTTCTCAAACCTATCCGCCAACTCCCATCGCAACTCGAACCCCCTCTCTGTTATATTTTTTATGTATTATTATAATATGTGTGTATCTATTTTGATTAGCCCAGTTTGAACACCTGTAATACTGCGTGACGTCACCAGTATTTTTAACCAATGGTTTCATTTTGTTTCCTTGCTTGACTCAACACTTAACTGGCTTTTCTTCCATCGCAATATCAGGTGAGCAGAATAGACGCCACACAAAAAAGTGCGTTTAAAAACAAATAAAAAATCCGTATCTAATTAAAACTACTTTCCTTAAACTGCTCACCTTTCTTTGTCGCTTTGATTGAATTACTTATGTTATCCTATGTTATATGTTTAGCAACATTAATAACGTTAACGTGTATTTTTATTTATCTCTCATAAAAATTAAAATTTTTAAACATTGTTCCCTGTAATTATGCTATTCAAATATCAATTTCGTGAAGAATAAATATATGGATCCCTAGGGTAAATTATATCCGTTTTTAGTTGTTTTTTTCTTTCCGTTTATGATTTTATCATCATTATTCTTACTACGAGTACCACTTAGGAACCAATTCCTTAAGCGACTACCGGAAGAAGTCTGGGTACCAAGTTGATAAAAAAAACACCTGTCCACGCGCGCATGCGTGCTGGCCACGCAACTCCTCCCCACAGGAAGCCCGATGACCTTGATAACCTAGGCGATTAGGAGTCCCGTCAACTTAGGAAAGGCTTTACGTATATTTTATTAGAAAAAATATATCCCATGGAGTGTTGCGTACAGCTGCTGTATAAAAATAACCTAGAAAAAGAAAGTGTTGGGCTTGGCATAACCTGTAGCTGGACTGTTACCAGACAAGTTATATTTTAAACTCCAAATTAATTTCATTTATCTTGCTGCCCGATATTACATCTGGCTATGCAGATGCAATAGAAATAAACCGTCTCTGAATAGATTTTTAGTATATATAAAATCTTTGTATTCTATCGAAAATTATGGGAATGAAGACCTTGCTATGGCAAGGAAATGGAAGCCAATGTTACGTCTTCCCTAAACTCTAATGTAACATTGATAAATATTATAGGAT